CCATAAATCATTATGGGTTCGGAAGGATTTTCAAAAAATTCAGTATGAAATACAGTAAGTAGTTCGTTTATTGGAAGAAATGAAGGTGATTAAATAATATGTACAAAGGGGATTATTGGCTACCAGGGCTTCAACCAATGGATTGCAGCACTGCTTGTATAATCTTGCTTCTGTCTGCATTGTCTAGGATTGGCTGGCACCATCCACCAATGACGTGTATTCAGAAGCTATGCACATGCTACTGGCGTTGACATTCAAACTTGATTGATCACCAATGTCCTGAAACTGTAACGCGCCACTCCAGGGTAGGCGCCATCGTGTAGGCCTGGATCACCACACTTTTATCTGTGGGACCTGCTACTTGAGTGCCTCATTTAACAAGTATATACTATCCCTCGTTTCTAGGAGCCAGCACTTGCTTAGATTCAAAGGTAAGTCCCACTTGACCGACCATCGGTGGACTACCTCCATATTCCTTTGTAAGTTCAACCGTGTCATTTTGACATCATCAGCAAACATGAAACACGGATTTTGAAGATCCTGTGCCAGATCGTTGATGAAAATGGGAAAAAGTAGGAGGCCTAGCATTGAGCTCTGGGGAACCCCACTTGTAACCATCTCCTGGTTAGAAATGTAGTCACCTACCTTGACCCGGAAGATGCGATTACTCGAAAACGCTATAATCAAGTCCCTGACTCCACCCGTTATGCCTAGGCTTCGAACCTTGAAGTCCAACAACCGATAGCTGAAAGAGTCAAATGCTTTACAGAAGTCTAAGTAGCAGAGTTCTACATTTTTCTCCTTATCCATTCGTCGAGTGACTTCATCTAGGAACTCATGATTACCGTTGCACAAAGCCATGTTGTGCCGGTGACATTAGTCGATTGCTAGTGAAATTTAGGCAAATGTGCCTTCTGATCAGCAGCTCCAGGCACTTAGACAGCACTGACATTAGGCTAACGGGTCTATAGTTTTCTGCTTTGTGTTTCGGTTCAGTCTTGTGCAATGCTACTACGGTAGCTGTACGCCAGTCCTGGGGTAGCGTGGCAGTTTGTACTGATTCCCTAAAAAGTACAGTCAACGGCCCGGCTAGCACACCGGCCAGTGGCTGCACTATGACTGGATGTATTCCATCTAGACCTGCTGATTTATGCTTTTGAGCATCTGGAGTTCCCGATGTACATCCGTTTCACAGATAGCGATTTCGGATAACTCTGGCGTATCAGCTGATCTTGTTAAACCAGGATTATCCACATTAGCTGGGGTCCTATACACGCTTTTAAAGAACTTCAGTAGGGTTTCCGCTTTATCTCGGTTACACGTAGCTATGCCTCCATCGGGCAACGCTAGTGCTCCTACACACTCCCGTGTGCGTGCGTTAGTTTGCACGTAGGCATAGAAGCTTTTGGGGTTCTTTTTGGTACCTCGGACTAAATTAAACTGGAAGTCATATTTCACACGCCTTTGGA